TATATTAGGGAAATCATGGCAGGAAAAGTGATGGTGTTTTGCGATATCATCCCCCCCCCCCCCCCCCCCATTGATGGTGGTGTTGCACAGGTAAAATGTAATTCCATCAATTCCCCATACACAGCAATCTTAGTTTTCAAGGCACCATGAATGGAAAAAGGTTGAACAATATTTAAGTAGCATAGAGGCAAAACTTTTTTTCATTTTGGATACTTCCTGTCCCATAGCCAAAAAAAAAAAAAAAAAAAAAAAGTAGGAGGAAATCCCTGCAAATTAAAGGAATTCCTTGGGGCCCCCAGGAACTAATGTCCCCCATGACTTTTCTGGGGACAACCCAAAATTTGGGGTTTCTTTTACTATCAATGATGGTGATCAGGACAAATAGAGGGGGTAGGATCTTCCTAACGGGGACACAGCTATAAAAAAAAAAATAACTTGATGGGGGTTCTAATCCCCCCCCCCCCCCCCCGCTATCCAAACCTAAAAAAGTTTGGCCTTTAGTTATACTTTCAGTCTCAAGGCACCCGAGTCTAAACCGTGGCTTACAAAGCCGTCCGCAACACTGTCCCTAGATACATCACCATCCTCAGATATTGCCCGCTCCGCTCCGCTCCTCCCAAGACCTCTTCCTCTCTAGCTCCCTCATCACCTCCTCCCACGCTCACCTCCAGAGCCTCCCCCAATCTCTGGAACTCCCTAAACCAGTATGTCCGGTCAGCACCCCACCTTGTCTGCCTTTAGGGGATCTTTGAAAACTCACTTATTCAGGGAAGCCTACCCCACCTCCACCTAAGAATTGTACTTGAATCACCTCCATCAGATCATCCCCCTCAGCCATCACCTTTTGTATCCCCCCCCCCCTTCCTTTGGATTTTAAGCTCCTTGAGCCGGGCCCTCCTATTCCTTCTGTACTGAATTGTATTGTAATTGTACCGCCCCCCTTATATTGTACAGCACTGAGCAAACTGTTGGCGCGATATGATTTTTTATTATTATACAGGATTTATATCTTTCAAATACCGTTGTCTAAAAGCATAAGCACTACGTGACATGAAAAGGGGATCATTCCCCACATAACCTGCACTGAGAATTGTTTTAAAGTGTTTCCATATCCAGGATCTGATCTTTTCCTCCTTTCTAAATGAGGTAAGACTGGCTGCCTGGACCTTCACAGATCTCCAAGAACATCATGGAGTGCTCATCCATGCAGGTTCGATGCATAGATCATGGATCAGGACACTGATTAAACAAGCTGCCTGCACAGATATGATCAAGTGAATGAGGCCAAAAAGTGGCTGCACTGGTCACACATGACTGGCTTTATGAAGTGATGCTGATCCCAGAACTATGACAGCTCCATTAGAGGTCAGTCCACCACTGCTGCTCCAGGAACCCCTAGCAACCTCTGGAGGAATCCTGATTGAGAAAGGCTGATCTAGCAGTTTAGACATTGGATAAAAGGGAATCGATTGAAAGAGGTCTGTTTTTTCAGATCAAAAAAAAAAAAAAAAAAAAAAAAAGAGGGACAGAGAGATTAGATACTAACACCTCAATTGTACAAAGAGGACTGTTGCCAGCTCTGTCTTTGGTGCACCTGAAACTAAACCCCCCTATGTGTCACACCTTAGCATTTTACCATAGGCGCTCATTATGAAGGGAAAATCAATCTTAAGAAGTTGTCACTGAAACATTTGTCTCCATTGGAAAATTTACCCTTGGCCTCTGGCTCTGGTGAGGACTTCTGCTGACAAATGTCCACCAATCAGTGGATGAAATTCTGACCTGGAAGTCATTGGCCCACCTGCTGCCATTGTTTGGTGCCAATATATTAGTGGATGTGCTGCCCACTTTTCCATTGATGCAGGCAAGGGGACCAATTCCAATGAGACTCTGGTATATATACACATTGTGTATGGTCAGAGGATGTAAACTCCCATGATGAATGTCTACTATCAGTGATAAAGCTTGCTGCAGTGGGCATATGATGGATTTTGCTCTAGAACTGGAGCTTTGGATGTTGCATGACACTGCTGTTCCACCAATATTCAACCCAATACAGGCTGGACCATAGGCATGTTGGCACGGCTATGCATGATGGCTAGTTGGCATTTAAGATTAAACGGAATTGTGCTTGGAAGGAACCACAAGTACAGAGATCCTAATATGAGTTTATACAGCAATTATAATAACAAACAATACAGATAAAAGGTGACATATAAGGCATAAAGTCCAAAAATCCAAAGGTCCTAGGTAGGGTATGAGAGGTGAAGGCAGCTCCCATAGAGCGAAGCAGTACCAAAGCAGATTATCAATTTTTTTTCGGCTACAGTTGGCATATAGCAACCTGAAACTATTTCCTGGACTTTGAAAAGTGGCCTTGGCTAGAACAGTTGGCTTAAAGGTTTTTTTCTGTGGGAATGCTCAATAGCTTAAATATCAAAAAGGAGTCTTGTGAGCTGTGGGCTTTGCCTTGTTGACAGTTGTGCATGAAAGGCTTGGACTTTGCAATTGGCCATTATTAAGGAAAAAATTTCCTTAAGGAAAGTCAACTCTGGTCTCATGGGGTGAAGCACCAGGGGGGGATTAAGGACCAATGTTTTGGTAGAGCTAGTAAGGGATGGGCTGGAATGGTCAAAAAGAAGTTGTTTTGACAACACTGACATTTTTTATATTGGTGGTGGTTTACACTTTTCTTCAGGATTCTTTTGTGCCCAACTTTGACCTTTTTTAATGAGAACTTATCACATACACCCATAGTAAACCACTCCATACCACCTCTTGATGGGCTTTTGGTATCTATGAGTAATTTTGATTAGCGGACGTCTTTATATTTTTAGATGAGGAGGTATATATTAATTGAGGATGTTTTTTATTAGCTTCGTAATTTCCATCCCTGACAATGGTCACCAGGACAAATAAAGGCACGAGTTTCCTCAGCACAGACAGCAATAAAACCCAACAGAGGGTTTAACTCTTCATCACTCCATCCAAAATGAAAAAAATAGATTTGCCCTTATATTCATTGAAGGTGTCTATCAGAGAACGTTCCTCCTATCTACCCAACCATGATCAGCTCAGAGGATAATATGACATTTCTGGACATGCTTACTTGGACCAGATTGGGGAGAGTCAATCAGCCAGTGGGGTTCTTTCCAGTGCAGCTCTGAAGGATTACCCACAGGGATCCCATAGATGGGGATATCAGCTAGGCTCCCCCATCTATAGGCACAGACTTTTTTTTTATACCATGAGCTTTTGGTAGAAGGATGATTTGGCCTCTACCTTGTCATCTGTGGGTAGCATTAGAAGCCTTTTCATATTGCTTCTAAACCAACACCACCACATACAATACTCCTTGGTTCTTTGCTGGTATTATTTCCATAATTAAAGTTTTTCTCTATGGCCATAATTCATTATTTGAGGAATCCATCCCCCAGCCCTTGTGTGAGGAGCGTCTAGCGTTTCTGCTCCATCATGGCTGCTGGTCTCATTCCAACATTCTGGTTTTGACTCTGATGAAAAATGCTTTGACTGACCCTTGAGCTAGGTTTTTCAAGGCCCTGGGGTTTACTCTATGATGATCTTGACTCTGGGAACTCAGCAGAAACTAACCTTAGGTCAGTACGTCAGGGTAAACACACCACTGATTTCCGCTGCTGGTCACCTGACTCAGGGTGGAATGATCCAGCTCTAACAGGCCATTTGAGGTTAGGCTTATCAGACTCCATCAAGGACTCCTTAGTACATTATCCTGAACCAAGGTCATTGAATGAATCCATGCAAGCAGGGGTGGACTGACAACTCATGGGGCCCCCGGGCAATAGGGGATCATGGGGCTCCTGTGTCCCTTGCCCAAACTAAAAAAAGCCTATGAAAAAAAGGTACCAGGGGCATCTCATGGGGCCCCCTAATGACCCCAGGGCCCTCGGGCAGTGCCAGAGATTCCAAAATGGTCAGTCCCACCCCTGCATGCAAGTAATCATCCGTATAGACAGATGTTTAGATGAGAGGTTTGTTCCTCATTGCCTCATAGTACCCCACTTCTTCTCCATCAGACCTTCCTGGATCCTTTCAACCTCTCCAAGAGGAGGAACTCATTCAAGTTGGCATTACTCATTTGTCCCCTGGGGAAAAGGCTAGAAGAGGATCCCAGGGACTATACTGCTTATACTATGGGAAGACATTTGCCAAGCCAGGAGGAAGGATCCAAGCTAGATCCCTCCTTGAAGATACAAGAGCCCCTGTTGGAGTTGTGTCCTGCACTTATGGGCGGTATGGGAGGGAGGGTTATCAACAGTGGAAAACAGTCAAAGTGGGTTACAGTGGCTTCCCTGGTTGACAACACTGCATGAAAATTACATTTTAAGACCAAAAAGCATTTTCAACCTGCAGAGGAAGGCCCCTGGGGGTGAAAAAAAAAAAAAAAACATAAGGTAAAAATAAACGTCTTTTTATTTAGTATAAATTAAAATTATGCATGTAAATTAAAAATCAATCAATCAATATACAAAATCAATCAAAACACTCTGGCCACAGGTATATACACTTCCATAATGTAGTTGATGCAGATTATATACATGGGAGCAGCACAGGATATACACAACAGCAGCGTATTGTCTACACAACATATACATATCAATCACCCACCTCCATTGAATGGAGGGATGGGGACCCTCTGCAGAAAGTGAGGTGACACCCTATTCTCATAAAGGGGACATTTACATCATAAAACCAGGGTGGGGGTCCTAGCCTTATTTATATCTGGCAGCCCCCAGACTTCCAACACACACCTGACAAACAACCAGTTATCCACATCATCCCTGGAATCCCCTCTACATGCCTGTCTCTGACCCCAACAACTTGGACAGAATGCTGCCCGACATCGAGAACTGCCCTGGAGAGGCCAGTGGAGACCCAAAGCCCCCGACTCAACTGACGATCACACCAAGAAGAGCAAAAAGAAGAATTATCAAAGATACGCCAAACCACCATACTCCTACATGGCCATGATTGCCATGGTCCTCCAGAGCGCCCCCGGGAGGAAGCTCAAACTTTCCCAGGTAACTAACCCCCCATTATGGGGCTTCTTGGGGCTTTACTGCAGCTAGGGGAGGGGGTGGGGGGCATTGAGACCAGCTCAGAATAAGGACCAGTCAGAGGGAAAGTCTTTATTTTTGGCACAAAAATTATTTAGGAAAAGGAGCCTTAGGCCAACAAAGGCGGAAAAGTATGTATTAAAAAAATAGAAGTTCAAGTAGTAAATTGTTTTTTTTATATATAAACTGTAAATATATTTTTTAATTTAGGCCTCTGGCTGCCTCTGTTTATATCTGCAACATATAAAACTCAGGCTGAATTCAAGGTATAAAAAAAAAAAAAAAAACAAAAACTTGTTTATTTTCCTCCCCAAATTTTTGCATAAACTGTATCTAAAGCCCAAACCTTTATGAAGTGGGTTAGATTTTTGTTGCATTTGTATGGAGCAATAATAGTGAAGGCTTTAAGCTGTCTTCACACAATAGAAGACCATCTATGGCAACAGATTCTGAAAATTTCAGATCATTTGGTAAATCACATCAAAAGTTTAAGCTATATTTTACAATGATAAAACATTTCATGTGAACAACTTAATGTAAAAAGAGCTTACATACAATGTTGAAATGTGTTTTTATTACAAAATATATGAAAACTATTTTTAAAAATATATTTTCAAATATGTTTTATGTCTTTAAAAATACATTTAATCTACATTTTTTGGAATGCATTAACAAATATATGTTAAAAAATCTGAATATATTTTAAAAAAAAAATCATATGAAATATATATATATATATAATGCATGTTATATTCATTATATATATATTAAAATATAAATATATGAAAAAAATATATATATTTAAATAAATATAATATTTAACATGCATATTCATTTTTTAAATATTAAAAAACTGAAATTAATTTAAAAATACATTTTTTCATATATGTTAAAAACATTTTTGGAATGCATTAACGTTAACTTTTATTTGTTAAAAATCAAAAATGTAATAAATATTTAAAAATATACATTTTTGACAAATATACACACACACACAAAATATAGTTCATATATTTTGTAATAAAAAAAGTGCTGCATGTTGAAATTCATTTTAAATATATATATATAAAAAATATATTATATATATATACATATAAAAAGTAACTATAATATAATATATAATATATACAATATGTACAGCATTATATTTTAAACACACACACACACACAATGTTGAAATGTATTTTTAAAGACATAAAAATATTTGAAAATATTTTTAAAAAATAGTTTTCAAATATTTATGTAATAAAAAACATTTAATCTACATTTTTGGAATGCATTAACAAATATATGTAAAACTATATGTTAAAAATGACTCTGAATATGTTAACAAAAATATATAATTTATATATATATAATATATAATATAAATATATATTTTTTTTTTTTTTTTTTTTTTTTTTTAAATTTTTTTAAAATATTTATCATATATTTTGTAACATTCCAAAAACGCATTTCAACATGCAGCACTGTGTATATGTGTGTATGTTTTGAAATATATTGAATACGGCCAAAATTGTAGGATTTCAAATATATTCTTCCCAAATTTATTGATAAATATTTAAAATATATTTTTCTTCCATGTGGGCTGTCCTAGCACAAACCCTCTTCCCACCATCCCCTCCCAACACAAATCCCCCCCCCCAATCATCTTGTGGTGCCCCCCAGCTCACATACCAGTGCCCAAAGCAGCCGCCCCTCCTGCCCACCCCTTGTCCTGCCCTGTTAGCCATTGCTTTGTGAAATATGTTTTCTAGTAATTAATGATTTTTATAGAGGGGGGTGTTTTTGCCTTTTTTTTGGTTTTTATTGCTGTCTGTGTCCCCACTGGGGAGATTTACCATGAGCCCCCCCCCAGGCATGAAAGTGATGGGAAATGCAAAATATTGGGCTGTCACCAGAAAAGGAATAGAGCAGAACCCTTCCAGTCAGGACAATTGTTCCTGGGGCAACTGTCTAACTTGGGATTTGCTTCACTTTGGAGAGATTTCAACTGACTTGAAGGCGAGGGAAAAGGAAATTTCCCCCATGGGATCACAACATTCACCCAGAGACCTCCCCGGGACAGCGATGTTCCTTTCACCCCACGCGTACATTTGGCTTCCAACACCAAACTTCTTCAGAAAGTGCTACCTACTCTATTCAATACAAGCATGCCCAATGAGTTCTGTCTGTATGGTGACTTCACTTGCCGCATGCTTAACGTAGAAGCCTTGTATGACCGATGGGTTCCTGGCATACCCAAGAGGTCTACAATGGTGTCCTCCTAAGTATCTCAGAGTGAAGGTCTCCTGGTGAGGGTCAGCCCTGGGAATGGAGATAAATATTGCTCATATAATGTAATAGGTAGTATGTATCTGGGTTTATGGCCATTCTCATTTACTTGCAACTATCATTTTTTCCATCAGATCCTCCAAGAGATCAGCAGCCTCTTCCCTTTCTTTGAGGGGGATTATCAGGGCTGGAAGGACTCTGTCCGACACAACCTCTCCTCCAATGATTGCTTCAGAAAGGTAAGGACTTGGTGCTTCTGGGATGTGATGGCAGTGGTGGTGGTGGTGAACAGTGACCCATCATTGGTGTCAGTGGGAGGAATAGTGCCTCAAGGGCCAGACAAAGGCAAGCAAAGGGCCACAGTTTAGAGACCACTGGATTAGAACATTGTGATATGCGGGGCTTTTCTTCAGCGGGAAACACGGGGAAATGAAGTTCCGGCACCTCCAGCACTGAATGTATGTAATGGCAAGGCGTGAGGTGTGTGCTGCAGGGACTATTGATGCTGGCTGCTGGGGGATCTATTGTCATGGTGGGCATGTTTTTTTGTGAAGTCTATTTTTGCCAGTGGGGATCTATCACTGTTGGGGGGGGTCTTGTGTTGCTGTTAGGGATCTACTGCTGGAAGGGGGGGGTCCTGGCTGCTAGGAGGTATGTTGCTGGGGATGGTATTTTGTTGGGGGTGGTCCACTGTTGCTGTCTGAGGGGTCTATTGTTGTGTGGGGGATATTTTGTTTGCTGCAGGCAATCTGTCATTGTTGGAGCGAGGTCTATTTTTGCTGGGGGGAAAAACTATTGTTGATGGGGGGGGGGGTCCATTGTTGCGGTCTGCAGGGGATCTATTTTTTACTGCTTTTTGTTAACAAATTCCATACAAATATATTTAGCACCATAAAATTATACCTGGGTTCTGTATTCTCTAAAAGGGGCAGTACTGCATTGCGTATAAAAAAGGCTGTTTGATCCTGTCTCAACTCTGCTCCTCCTCTTGCTCAAATTGTCCATGCCTTATCTCCTGATAAGGACAGACTGAACACCCATAGCCATGCCCTGCACATGCTCACTTTAGTGTATTGTTAGAGAGGTTCTCTTTACATCTCTTGGGAAATGCATGTAATTTGCAACAGGGGCAAAACAATCAGCGCTGTCCAGACAGGGCGTTCAGGGGTTAACTGCATCCACCCACATACAGGCAGAAAACAAAAACTCTATACAAAATACCATTAAACCAGTGCTCTGCAATGATAGAAACACTTGCTAATATTCGGCAGAAAAGGTATTTAGCAGTTATATTTAAATTATGTTCCTTGTTCTGTTGTCGGGGAAAATATTTAGCGAAAAAAATATTGCAAAAAATTCCGGGATGTTATCGGAAGTAATACCCGGGTCCGGAGATACGGATACAAATAGCGAACGCGGGGTTGACGGGCTGGAAATTATAAACGGGTGGAGGGGGTCACGGGGGAAGAGCGGATAAGTTAAGATGGGGTCCGGGTGGATAGAATTTATTAATAAACTATTAAATAATTTTTCTTATAAAAAGGAGGTCCATATCTTATATTATTAAATAGTAATACAAATTGCAATCCGGAGAAAGATATAAAAAAATATGGAAGATAGGGTAATTCAATATAACGGGGGGTCGTGGGTAAGCGGAAATATGACGAACGCGGTCGTAATATAAATAAGAAGGATAAAAATAATTATAGCGAAGTCGCGGGGCGTCTAAAACCAAAAAATGATACTCGGGGGTCCGGCCACCATAAGTAATTTTTGTGTCCGGTAATTGGAGTGTTTATAAAAAAACTAAGAAAACGTATTGCTTAATAGGAAAATGGGGAATATTAATAAAATGCAGAAGAATCTGGTTTATAGCTTTTTAAAACCAAGTACAATTTATGTATTAATTTGCCAATTTATAAATGAAAATGCGCATGCACCACATTCTGAAATAAAATTGATGTGTCCGGAATACACAATGAACATGTAATGCTTTAAATGTCAAAAAATACTTAATTTATGGAATATAAAAATTACACACAATTAATACAATAAAAAATAAATTAAAATTTTTGTTTATCAATATTATTTGTGTTAACTAAAAATAAATGAGTATATTTAAAAATTTATTGTATTTTTTAAAAATGCAATTTAATATTTCTTCAGATTTTAGTAAATATATAAAAAGTCCATTTTACATGTTTTAAATGCAAATCCAAAAAATGTAGATTTGTATTTTTAAAGACCATTTTCTTCAAAATAACTTTCAAATATATCATAGTCATTTTATAAATAAAAAACAATTTAACATGCAAATTATATTAAAAATATTTTTTTAATTGGAAAAATATTTTTAAATATTGAATACAGCCAAAATTGTCAACATTTCAAAAATATACTGGAGCTAATATATTTGGAAAAGAATATTTTTAAGATATATTTCATATATATTTTCTTCCATGTGTGGTGGAGCCGGTCTTCTAGCATGGCAGGAGTTATTTTCAATTTCAGCCAAACAGGGAGGACCCTTACACACTCAATAGGGGACCCTGGCATTTCTGAAAAATTTGGGCAGATCCGGGGAACATTATTTTTTATGTATTATAAATAGGTCGAAGGATCGGTTTCCCCTGACCTTGTAATCGATTTGTGTGAATTTGCTGTGCCGGCCTACGCTCCATAATGTCTTATCCTCTTTGCGGTCCTAAAAGATCCACTTAAAGCCGCAGGCTAGGGCAACTATTGGACGGTGGTGTGACCCCAATTCATGCTGGATGCATGAAGCTGCAGAATACGTGGTCACACGTCAAGAAGCCTACCCTCGCCTGTCTGGCCCCTTATATCCTGCATGGACACCCCTACAGATTTGGGTTTTCCACCCCCATTTTCAAATAAAAAAATACTGGGGTCGAGCAGTGCGGGGGGCGGGTCCCTCTTATACCCAACCCCCTTTTATGAATCCGCCTCAACCTTCCCAAAATCTTGTGGAACCTTAAAAAATTCATTTCGAATTTGTCCCCCAAATGTTGTGGCCCCCCCCAGTACCCCTCCCCTGCTTCCCAATTCCCCCCTCTTCCTCTCTGGGTAATACTTGCCTTCCTGTATTCCAGACCCATGCGGGGGAGGGTGCTGCTCTCACAGTTTTGACCCCCAATGCCTCCCCCCCCGAGACCCTCTGAACCAGAATTCCACTTCAGAATTCCCTCCCAATGGACAGTCTTGGCATCCCCGTGTATCCACAAAATGGGGGCTACCGCACCCTTCAAAAAGTTATGGCCCCGCATTTTTTCAGGGTGGGGCTTTACCCGGGTAAAGACCCAAGGTACTGATTGGCAGTTGTAGAGGGGCAAGGCTGGTTTGGGTAATCACTTTTGTTCAAGGATTGCGCACTTCAAGCCTTTCCTGAGTTGATGTTGGCACCCAAAGGGCACATGGCCCAGGAAAGGGGCAAAAACCTGACCTCGTCAAAGGGATTTTACCCCATGTGTATATATCGGTCTTTTGTATCTTGCCCGTTTGTATTACTTAAAATAAATTGGAATATTTTTACTAAGTTGGGCACGGGGTGTTGCAATTTTTCCCATGTATTTATAAAAATATGGGGTTGAGATTTTAAATCCCATTTTAGTGTTTGCGTGACCCAAACGTGCGGGGAATAACGTCCTCAAGGAGCTCAACTTACAAGCCGCCTCAATGCGTGTAATTGGGGGGGCTTGGGGCCAATGGGTTTAATGTGATAAGTGTGAGGGTTCTGCACTTGGGGGGTAAGAATTGATGCTCTTTTTAAACTGGGGGGGGGGGTACAACGGGGGGCAAGGTGGTGAAGGATCTGGGGTTCTGGTAGATTTCAAACTTAATTGGGAGCAATGCCCAAACTGTGGGTTCTAAAAAGGGAAAAAAAGCCTCTTTTATTAGGAAATAGCTCCAGAGAGATATCCCCCCCCCCCCCCCCGGTACAAATCATTAACAATCCTCATCTGGAAATATGCAGTTTAGTTTTGGGGTCCCCAAATTTACAAAAAAAACATTGGGGAATGGAGAAAGTACAGGAAGGACAACCAAAATGATACAGGTGGAGGAGATCAGCTATGGGAAAAATTAGAGGAATGAATTTATTCTTTAAGGGGATTAAGGGGGGGATATGATCTCCATGTATATACTAAGGGGGGGAGATATTAAAGATTCATAAGGGGGGTTATTTTTAAAACATAAGGGGGGGGATTGATCTCCATGTATAATACATAAGGGGGGGATATGATCTCCTGTATAAACATAAGGGGGGGATTTGATTCCATGTTTAAAACATAAGGGGGGGATATGTCTCCATGTATAATACATAAAAAGGGGGTGATATGATCTCCATGTATATTACATATGGGGGGATATGATCTACATGTATAATACATAAGGGGGAAATGATTCCATGTATAATACATAAGGGGGGATTTGATCTCCATGTATATACATAAGGGGGGATATATGATCTCCATCGATATTATACATAAGGGGGATAAAGGGTCGCATTGTATTAATAGGCATGCTGAAGAGCACGTGCGCAGAAGCAGAAGTCGCATCTGAAGTCAATCGTTAAAGACCTCACACAAACTTGGTCTGTGGCCTTCTGATGAGTCCCAACAACAGTGCGTAGAGAGCTTCAATGGAATGGGTTTCCATGGCCAAGCAAGCTGTAATCCAAATTCCATCACCAAGTGCAATGACAAAGCGTCGGAGCCGTGGGTGTAAAGCACAGCCGCCACTGGACTCTAGAGCAGTGGAGTCGTGTCTCTCGGGTGATGGCCGTTCTGTGTGACCAATCACGCTTCTGTTCGCTGTCTGTCTGGGTTGGTGGTTGCTAGCGAGAACGGTACTTGCTGACTGCATTGTGCCAGATGTAAAGTTGCAGAAAAGTGTGTTTTTATTTGTGGTTTGTGGAGTTGTTATTCCAGGGGTTGGGCTTGGCCCCCTAGTTCCAGTGAAGGGAACTTTAAGGTGTCAGCAAATCAAGATTATTTTGGACAAATTTCATCTCTCCCAACTTTGTGGGAAGAGTTTGGGGATGGCCCCTTCCTGTCTCAAAACGGACTGCCCACCAGTGCACAAGCAAGGTCCATAAAGACATGGAGGAGCCAGTTTGGGGGTGGAGGAACTTGACTGTACTGCACAGAGTCCTGACCTCAACCCCATAGAACAACATTGGGATGAAATAGAGCGGAGACTGTGACCAGGCCTCCTCCCCGACATCAGTGCCTGCCTGACACAAATTGTGCTTCTGGAAAGATGGTCCAACTTCCATAGACACCATCTAAACCTTTGTGGCGGTCTTCCAGAAGAGTTGGAGTCTGTATAGGTTGCAAAGGGCGGGGCCAAT